CCCCAGCCCCATACCCGGACCCCCCACCCGCCCACGCTCTCTCTGTCTCCCACAGGACCCCTGGGTTTCAGTCTGTTGGTTCCTGGGTGAAGACTATCCCTAATCATTGTTAAGACAAGTACCTACTACCACCATCACCCAAAAGGCTCTCTTTATGAGCAAACGTTTGATGTTCCGAAAATTCCTTCTATGCTTCATAGTGCCTGCTCATCAGCATTTGAGAGGAGAGCTGGTGCCTTTGCCAGAATTGGCTGCTGCCAGATTGAGCATCTTCAGTGGGCTTTTCTTACCGCTGTTTTCTATAATGGCCCAACTGTACAAGCAGTCCACATTTAGGCAGACCTGTAAGTGGGCAGAGCAAGTGTCCTACCTGTAGTGGCTGGAACAGAGCTGAACATCTTGTTACCACCCAGCACAAACCTACCTTATGTATAACTTCCTTGCCTATAATTTTGGAACATACACATCTATAAAACGAGACCAGTCCCCTGTTAAAAAAAAAAAAAAAGATCTTAAGTAGTTGATGTTTCATGAAAGAGCCACTCACGAAACCTGCTTAAATAGAATAGGACCAATATCTGGCTTTTGAATGCATTTGATACTGAAATACTTTGTTGATGCTTTTTTTTTTCAACAACTAGACACATATTTCCTATACACTATGTGTTCTACATACATACAAAACTTGTTATACGTATGTAATAATGAAGTCAGATTTTGTAAATCTGTAGGCACGACGGTCACTGGTGGAGTGGGGTGCAGGATACAAATGCAGTAAAGAGTGTGCCTGGCTCCCCCGGAGGACTTGTGTTATATTTGGCTCAGCTGGCGGCCGGTGGTTGTGCCAGGTAGAAGAGGGAGCCTGAGAGGCTAGGATCTCGGTTAATCCCTCTCAGGGTCTGGTGAAGTAGTAAAGGGTGGAAAAGAGCGCAGGGAGGAAGTTAGCTGTAATGTTTAGCATAATGGAGAGATACAGGAGCCCTGTAATCAGATGAAGGCTGGCCGTGAGGAGGGTCCGGGGTACATAACAGTTCCAGTCTCCATCTCTGGAGCTGCGTGGGGGAGGGGTGGGAACACAGGGCCAATTCACAGATGGCAGATGGAATTATTTTCCGCTACAGGTGTGCCTGAAATGTAGGCTCAAACTAGGTCTTTATAAATCTGATTTGCATTGATAATTGCTGATGGTCCGTTTTGGATTTTCTTCTGTTGTCAAGAGCCTGACGGCCCGCTCCTCCGCTGTCTGATAGCTGAAAAAGGCAGGCAGTCTGGAAACCCACTCTTAGTGGCCAGGGGAGCTGGTCTTTAAAGGACCTTTTTTTGTAATCAAAGTCAGGCTTTCAGGAAAAATAATGATGATGGCTACAACTTCCCAAACTTGTCTGTATCAAGCACTTGACCTCTAGCACTACTTTTAACCCTCAGGACATCCCATCTCTGCTTTTTGCAAATGAGAGAATCTGAAGCTGCACTAGAGGATTCTTTGGCTACTGAGAATGTCAAGGCACTGCTGGACCTGTCTGGCTCTGAATGCTGCCTCATCACCCTTTTCTACACTTCCTTTGTTTACCTTGTTTACTTCTGTAACAAGGTCCACACAGGGTCCACTTTGAATCTGGAGAGAGCTTAGAACACAAAAGCCGGAGATCTAAAGCTTGCTGTGCATCAGCACCCCCACATAAAAATCTAGTTTTGGAATTGTTCTTACCCTGCCCCCCCATCCTACCGTAGGATATCACCTACCTCTTTTGCACATGGAGTGATCACAGGACAAGTCTTATTTTTACAGCTAAGCCCATATGTTGGGAATGCAAAGCTTTTTCCTTAAAGAAACCACATTTAAATGGCAGATCTCCAGTTCAATTCATAAAAGCCACTTTTACTCATAATACACCGAAAGAATATGGTAATATTTGGGTAATGGTAGTCAAATCCCATAGGTAAGGACACTGAGTCTTTGGGGGCAGTTTAGCTCAAGGTCAGACACTAGGATTCCATTCAGTTGGTGTTTGGATCCACGTGTGGAACTTCACCAGTTCCTAATCAGTTATACTGGTTTAGCCGTTGCTGCTTGCAGAAGCATTTTCTTAAAATTGGGTTATTTTTGACAATAATAGCATTTTTTGAAATTCTTAAGCATACCACCACCATTTTCTGTGCACATTAAAAAACGAATCTGCCCTTGCCCTTCCTGTTCCATCCTCCCCCAAACAAACCCAACATATGGCTTAAACATGTTGTTTGATTCTTTCCAGAAAGAGAGAGGGGAAGGTGGGAAGGGAGTCTTCCTCCTTTATACCTTTGTGGTAGTAGAGTTCACTGTCATTTCTGTTCCGGGTGGGGTGAAGTGCCTGAGTAACATAAATACACCACAGATAGGAAGCAGTTGGCAAGTGGCCATGCAGCTGGATTATCCAGACATCCTTCACAGCTTTTAGTGCAACACTTTATCCCCTGCCTTGTTTTAAATAGCCAGATGCCTCGGTTAATGCTGGCTGATGGGGTTGTTGCCAGAGGAGATGGGCTGCTGGGCGTTTTGTTCCCTTGCTCCCAACATACACACACCCCATCAGACAAGTCTGTGCTCTTGAGAAGGGCCACAAGAGGAATTAGGGCAAGAAAGAGGATGCTGCAGGCTGCGAGCAAAGGCCAAAATGAACAGCCCCTGTAGACTAGAAGCTAACGGGTGAGGTATTGTTTTTAGTCTCTAATAAATGAATACTCTTTGGAAATGAGTTTATGGCACCAATATAACGCAAACTTCCCTTTTTCGTGTTTACTTAATCTCCTCAAAGGAAGGGAGAACACACAGCTGCAACACAAAAAAAGTAAACAGCATGTTTTCACAAGAGGTGTGTAGAGTTTCAGTTACTCGCCTTGGCCGTTTCCTATTGGGATGAACCCATAGCATACTCCCAGAAGATTTGAGAAAGCTGTGTTTCATACTAGAGAATTACAAATCCTGGGGACCCTTCATTTTTCTAGAATAAATGGTGTGGGGCGGGGAGGTGGGGAAGGTATATTCTCAAATTGTTTGCATGTAACTAATCTACACAAATGTTATCAAATGTTCCTGATGTCTTCGATCTAAAGGAATATGGGTTTGAATCCTGAGATGGATGGATTGACGATAGAAAACATGTGCTTATTAAATTTAGTTTTCTTGTTAATCTTTATCCTGTCCCAATTAAGCTATTGTGGCTCATAAGCAAATGAATATTGAAGGCTCTACTTTTTCTCAGAGATTTTGTTAGCTAAGAATAATTTTTTTCATCTGTTTATAAAATGTGTTTTACCCGTTTGTTCCTTAGCCTACTACACACACATAAAGCAGTGTTGCAGGCTCTAGGGACAGAGCAGTGAACAAAAAGGGCAAAGGCACTGCTCCTATGGCATTTACATTCTAGTTGGCAAAAGTGGGCAAATAGGGCAGATGTTGTTTTAGTAACAGGTAGAAAGACGAAGAAGAATGAGAAGATTTAAGAGGGATGGAGGGTGTTACTTTATATAAAGTGGACAAAGAATCTTCTCTGATAAAATAACCTTGGGCAGAGAACTGAGTGAAATAAGGAAATGAGCTAAGTCGGCATATGGGGGGAAAGAGTGAGGAAATAGCAAGTGCAAAGGCCCTGAGGTCAAAGTGTGCTTAATGTGGAGGACAAGGGCAATGGGACTGAAGTAGAATGAGCAAGCAGGAGAATGATAAGTGCTCAATTTTGCTTTTTACTCAGAGTAATGTAGGAAGCTATTGTATAGTTTGTTTGAGTAGAGTATCATAATCTGACTCACTTTTCTATTGTCATAGAAAGTTGGGCAGAAGTGGAAGTAAGGAGGCTAGTTAGGAGACTGTTGAAATAGTCTGAAAGGTGTTGGCAGCTGGGATCAGGGCAGTGTTGAGGGAGGTAGTAAAAAGTAGATTCTGGATATATTTTGAAGAGAGAACCAATGGGATGAGGTATGGAGAATGAAGAGTTCAATCTGAAACATGTTGGTTGAGATGTTTATTAGACACCCAAGGAGAGAAATCCTTAGGCATTTGATCTGCTCAGGGAAGAGGTCTGGGTGGAAATGTGAATTTTGGGCACTGTTAGCGCATTTAGAAGGTGCTTGGTGTGGGTCCTGGGTGCTTTAGCCATAGTTAGAGGAGAGGCAGAGAATACTGGTCACAAGTAATAGGCGTGCTAGTGGGCGGAGGTACAAGGTCCCTTCTGACTGCCTATTTTTCACAGGGAAATTAAAGGAAGTTCATCCATCATCTGAGAGGGACAGGGTAGGTGGACCTGTGAAATTATCTTCTTGGGGACGGATCAGAGAAATGTAACAGGATACTGGGAGGCACTTAAGAGCTCCCCGCCTGAGGTTAGTGACTAAAACTAGACCTAAAACTGACCAAAGTAGTATTCAACAGCGTGGGTGGGGGCATGGAGTTGGGTAGACAGTAGAATTTCATCGGGGTTGGGGTTCACCAGGCATTATGGTGGGGAAAGAGAGGACAATGTGTTATGTTTTGTACAAAAGAGTGTCGTGATAGACCGTGGAACTTGAGGAGTGAATCAAGTGAGAACATGAAGGATGTGGGGAAGGGGGGAAAGGGAAAGGTGGTCAGAGCAAGAGATATTGTTCCCAGAGAGGTGAAGAATTACAGGAATTTGGAGGGAGTGAGCTGCAAAGTTGAGAAATGGCAGCTAGAGAGCAAGATGCTTGAAACTGAGGTTAAGGAGGTTGTGCAGATATTAGTAATGACAAGGTCATGTGTGTGAGGTAGGCGTGGGTACCTGAGGTTGGGTGTAAGAGAAGGGCATTGGAAAAGAGTTCCAGAAACTGAGAGGCCAAGGAATTGTACGGATCCTTTGTGTGAATAAGGAAATTGTCAAGAGTCACAGCAGGGATCATGGTGGAGAGGTGGAGGGACAGTGAGCCCGTTTGCCCATGTCTTCCAAGGATGAGGGGAGGGATGCGGCCCAGAGGTCTGTAGAAGATTGAAGAAGGGTAGTGCGGGCATGACCAGGCTTGTGAGCTTCAGAGAAACTGGAGAGCTGGCCAGTAGCCTGGAGCAGAGGTGACTACCCTGCCCCACATCTAGGCTAAGCATGGAGAGATGTAGGAGAGAGAATGTGGCCTCATGTCAGTGGGCCCCAGAAGCTCAGCCCAGAGCACATTTACATTCAGGTTAAGAGAGTGAAAAGAACATCTGAGTACCTGGATTAGTCAAATTCACAGAGACCAGAGTATAGTGGCGACTGCCAGGGGCCGGGCAGAGGGGAGGACGGAGAGTTTCATGTTTAACGGGTATGGAGTTTGAGTTTGGGAAGATGAAGGAAGTTCTGGATTGGGATGGCGGTGACAGTTGTAGAGCAGTGTCGATGCACGTAATGCCACAGAAGCGTACAGTTAAAACGGTAAATTTTATCTCACATGTATTTTACCAGTTTAAAAATAAAAGGGATGATCTGAGGAAAGGATGTTGGACCTTGAGTGCAGGGGCACTGTGGAGGGAGTTGGGGGCACAGTAGAGGTGAGCCGCAGGGAGTCACGGGAGACCTAGGTGGCTCCCCCTTTGAGGGTGAGTGCGGTGAGCAGGGGTTGGGGGCAGAGGGACTGTCTAAATGGTCTCTGGGAGACTGAAGATGGAGTGGCCGGGCTCTGCCTGGCGCTGGGGTGGGTGGTGGTCTTCCCCTGAGTCCCAAGGAAAGAGGGGGTTCTGTGCTACTCTACATCTCTGTTGCCCTAGAATCTAGCACAGCGCCTGGCATGTAGAAGATGTGAATATATGTTTGAATGCATTAAAAAATGACTTCTATCCAAAGAAAGAAAACAGCAAAAAAGAATTTAAGTGGCCTTGCTGAAAAATCCAAATACAGTTCCCCAAAAGTGATGAAGAATGAAAAGCTAGAGTGGGTCTCTGGAGAAGAAAGAGGATTTTTGGCAAATGTGCAGAAGAACTTACTGCGAAATTGAAGTTTAGACTGGAAAAAATAAAATCATAAACAGAAGGCTACACATGGGTAAAGGGTGTTGGAACTGAAACATTTTCCCACCTATGCAAATGATTGCGTGGTGGATTTGCGATTTGGAAGGGAATTATCCTATTTTGTGCTAAATCAGAAGATTATTAGCTTTATAAAGTGTTAAGCCTAGGTCGTGCATTGGTTCCTAACTTATAGATAACAAATTATAGCAATTAGCTCATTCATTTTATTATTAATAGTTAGACCCAGATTGTAGAGAATGTTATGCCTGCATACATCTTCAAAGACACATAGATATTTGCAATTGCTGGGTATCTTTTTAAAAATGTGCTTTTGTACCATATTTAGTTTAAGTGTTTTTTGTTTTTTGTTTTTTTCCCTAAAAGTGGAGAAGGGTTACCTTTTAAGGTTGCTGCCAGGCATCGATTTTCTTTTGAAGGGTCTAGAAAAGTGCTGGCTGGTGGTCGTCTTGCCTTGTGAAACATGTCCTGCAGCTGCCAGACCATTGTCATGCCCCATTCTTCTTGTTGTCGTTTTAGTGACAGCTATATTGTGCGTGTCAAGGCTGTGGTTATGACCAGAGATGACTCCAGCGGGGGATGGTTCCCACAGGAAGGAGGCGGGATCAGTCGCGTGGGTGTCTGTAAGGTCATGCACCCCGAAGGCAATGGACGAAGCGGCTTTCTCATCCACGGTGAACGACAGAAAGACAAACTGGTAATGGTAGACATGCAATGCGTTGTGTTAAATCAGCAACGACTGATTGCTTTCCGTTAATCATGGCCCTCTTCTCATAGGTTTGTTTGTCTCCTCCCGCACCCCCCCCCCCCCCCCCCCCCCCCCCCCCCCCGCCTTATTTCTCTGACTTCAAACTGTTGTGAAAGCTTCGGAAGTTACAACTCTGGAGCTGATGCCAAATACAAAACATAACCCTGACTTTCCAGTGAAGTCCTTTCTTACCACACCAGATAACGCAGGTGCTTAGTATATTTGGCCATCTTGTTTGCGTCTTTGATTAATTAAGCTGTCTTTCTGTCACCGTAACAAGATATTCAAAACAGAAGCGTGTTCTTTGTCATGAATCACATTCTAGTGAGCTGTGAAGCCTGGGCTTTTAAAAATGTAGGGTTTATTCGTGGAGCATGCCGTCAAGGTTTGGATGGTAAAAGGTCAAATGCAAAGGCAGAATGTCACCTGATACTTGGTTATTTGTAAATACTGTTTATCTAAAAGATACCGTAGCTTTTATTTCCTATACTAATGAATAAAACCTGTTTGGAAAATGTAGTGGTATCACATGTCTATAATAATTCTACATGCTTGTTAAATACATACTTTGGAGAGTAATATTCTCTCACGTGAGTGGAGCATTAGTAGCTCATAACATAGAGTTTCAGGAAGGAATGTGGATGTCCAGTTCTGAGCTATGAAGGAATCCATGATATGAAGAAAAGTTGCTATTTTTAATTGGTAGCCTTGAACCTGGAAGAACGTTGCTCCTATCTGTATTTGATCATGGAGCGTATACTCAGAAGCCAACTGTTGCTTCAAAATGTGCAGGATCTTATTGGATCTCAACAGAAAAAATATAAAGACAGCACAGGAAATGTCACTGTGACATTTGAGACCCTTAACAGCGAGCGTGTCTGTTGAGTGTTACGTGTTAAATGTACAAATGTAATCTGCTTTTGCAACCACTTCTTACTGTTTAAAAAAGTTACCAAATAGATAAGACAGAACAATTTGTAAGTGTTATATATAGATTAACAGAAATGCTATTTTCACGCTTGATTCATTTCCAAAAATGAAATGAATGAAAGTTTAAAGGGAGAACATAGCTCATTTTAAGAAGTGTGTCCATTCAGAAAATTCCCTATGTATTAGTCAAATAATTAAAGCATTCTTATTTACAATGTAGCCATATTCCCAGTAAAAAGTAAAATAACACCATTTAGCTAACATTCACCATGTGCTAAACACAATGCTAGTCCTTTAGTTCACTGTGTCCTTACAATAGCCTGTATAATTATAACTGAAAAAATTAAGATTTGTAGATAAACTCCTTGTTCTTCGTGACCCATCTTGAGAGCATGTAACTAGTATTTGATACTCCATCACTCTGACCCTAAAACTGAGCCAAGCCACATGTGCTCAACCACCTTTAGCCTTTTAGTGTAGTTTTTTCCCCCTTGTGCATATTTCTCTTTTTTCATAGCTCCGAACAGAGCTTGTCAACCATTTTGTGTCTCATTTGCTTTGCCTTAACATACTCTAAGGAATTTTCCTCGTTGCTGTATAAGGTTGATATAATATTGTTTATTTGGTGATCTCCTTAGGGTTATTATAAATATTAAGGTTCTTTCCCTCCTCTCCCCCTCCCCCACCCCCTGCAGTATTACCTACCTGCATTTTCCACCTTTACTATTTTATTGGAATAATTTGGGGTCAAATTTTTATGGCTGTTGATACTTGTACAAAGAACTGCTACCAGCATATAGGAGAATTTCCTTTAATACCTTGAGGGTCATATATTTTAAATCTTTTTAATTTTTATTCTATTTGAGAGAGTGAGAGCACGAGGAGAGAGAAAGAGAATCTTAACCAAGCTCCATGCTCAACATGGAGCCCGACACACAGCCCAATGGGGGGCAGGTGCAGGGGGAGAATCCCATGACCCCTGGGATCATGACCTGAGCCAAAATCAAGAGTTGGGCGCTCAACTGACTGAGCCTCCCAGGTGCCCCGAGAGTCATATATTTTAAATCTTTACCAATTTGACAGAGTAACAGTAGTATCATATTATTAATTACTAATGGTATCAATGTTTTTC